TGGATCCTAACTATATATATACAGATGGGGCTGGCACATTATTGGAAGTTAACAAGCTGTATATTGGGAGCTGTGTATTGTATATTGGGATGTGTGATATATTACAAACCAGTGGGGTGCCAATATAGGGTGATATACTTCAAAACAGTGGGAGGGACTTTCTGTTAGAGAATGCCTATTATTAAGTAAGCTGTAGATCAATTAAGTCTAAGGATCTATTGAACATCATTTTTTTATTGGCCAAATATATAGTCAATGAAAAAAAACAACCCAAAAAACAAATATATTTCACCACCCTGAATAAAGTATTTGTCTCCATATTCCAGCACATTGTCATATCACTTGACCAATTTAATTATTATAAGAAATGGAAGAAGATCATAAGAAAAATGATTTTAATATATGGTTATGACCTCAGTAATGAAAAAGTGATAATATTCAAAATTTGTTTGTAAACAAAGTCCTAAAAAAATATTTTGAATCTGTAAATTTTAATGAATTATCAGCAGTCCATTTATACTGAAACATTAACATAGAGAACTATCAATATTGAGAAATAATGAACTTATAACACTGAATCATAATAACATCTTCAGATAATAATGTTACTGACATTTCACATAAATAAACTTAAAATTTCATCAATTGGTAGTAATTAATTACAAAAATTTAAAAGCAGATCTGTAATTTTTTAAATGAAAATTTTATTTGTTGGTATTTAGTAATTAGAAATTCAAGCTTATGAAAACTTATAATTTACTTCAGTCTGTATAATATCTATTAAAAAGATAAATCTGATTATTTTATTTTATTTTGTAAATATATATAGAAAGTTACTGTCTGTATGATAATTTTCTTTAACACAATGGAAATACATTATCTGGAAATAAAGAATCTTCCTTTCATTATCAATGTTCTTATTTAATTCAGAACAGTTCATTCAAATGTCTATGCAACTTTTCATTTTGAAATACAAAAAGAAAGAAACTCCTTGATCAAGGAGCTTAATTCTATATATTTTTCCTTAAATTTGTTCTATTTGTTTACGTTAATTGTACATTATGTACTATTTAAAGCATATAAAGCTATTATCATTATATTAAAACCAAAACCCCAGGAACTATGAGATTTGAACATCTAGTGTAACATTCCCCCCAAAAATGTAACAAACGCCTCCCTGCGGCATGTACTTTCTGGGTTTTCTAACAAAAAATAATTAGAAAGTCATAGAATTTTTGATGTTTTTTTAGGAAATGTGTTTGCATATTTGATTTAAGAATGATTTGGTGTATGTATCTTGTTTTAAGATTGACAATTTGCAGAATATTGGTCCAAATAGTTATCCTTTCTGTAATATTTTGAAAAAAAAAATGTCCAAAAAGTTATCCTTTCTTTCCAAAAAATCTGTTACAGACAATAAGGTACATTAACACAACAAACATGGCCTTAATTAACTTTATTATTTGACATAGATGGTCCATTTACTGTGCAGAAGGGACTATTTGTTCAGCCAATATACACATTTTCAACATACATGTATATGAAAAAATGTGATTCATAATGATATGTGTTTGTATATATGAGCCGTGTCACGACAAAACCAACATAATGGGTTTGCGACCAGCATGGATCCAGACCAGCCTGTGCATCCGCGCAGTCTGATCAGGATCCATGCTGTTCGCTTACAAACCCTATTACAAGTAGAGAAATTCATAGCGAACAGCATGGATCCTGATCAGACTGCGCGGATGTGCAGGCTGGTCTGGATCCATGCTGGTTGCAAACCCAGTATGTTGGTTTTGTCGTGACACGGCTCATATATTCTTTTTATATGTGCTTGTACATTTATATGTAAACTTAAATTTGTTTTGTCAGGATCTGTGTTCATGTATATAGATGTTTTGATATGTGTTTAAGACTGGCTTTATTATTGATATGTGCTTGTATATAAATATGTATACTTGCATTTTTGTCAGGGTATGTCTTGGTATATAGATGTTATGATGTGTGTTAGAGACCAGCTTCATAAGTGATATATGCTTAAACATAATTATGTGTACTTGCATTTATTTTGTAATAATATATGTTTATATATAGATGTTTTGGTATGTGTTTAAAATCATAAAGCATAATTCTATCACCAAAATTATATTTTTTCTCAAAATTATACATTTTTTGTCATTAAACATACTACCATGTATTATGAGAATGACCTAACAGGTATTTTAAGGTCCTTTGTGCCTCCCTAGTAAATATTTAAGGTCTTTTGTGCCTCCCTAGCAGTTCTTTGCGCACCTGAGCAGTCCTTAGCGGTCCTGCAACTCATCGAAAGCATAAATTCTATCACAAAAATTAAATTTTTTCTTACAATAATACATTTTTGTCTATAAACTTACTACCATATATTATAAGAATGTTCTAGGAGGGATTTTAAGGTCCTTTGTGCCTCCCTAGCAAGCTTTTTTGTATCTGAGCAGTCCTTAGCGGTCCGGCAAATCTTCGAAAACATAAATTTTATCACTAAAATTGTATTTTTTCTTAACATAATACATTTTTTGTCACTAAACATACTACCATGTATTATAAGAATGCCCTAACAGGTATTTTAAGGCCCATTGTGCCTCCCTAGGAAATATTTTAAGGTCTTTTGTGCCTCCCTAGCAGTTCTTTGCGCACCTGAGCAGTCCTTAGCGGTCCTGCAACTCATCGAAAGCATAAATTCTATCACAAAAATTATATTTTTTCTTACAATAATACATTTTTGTCTATTACCTTACTACCATATATCATAAGAATGTTCTTGGAGGGATTTTAAGGTCCTTTGTGCCTCCCTAGCAGTTGTAAGTGCACCTGAGCAGTCCTTAGCGGTCCGGCAACTCATCGAAAGCATAAATTCTATCACCAAAAATTATATTTTTTCTTAAAATTATACATTTTTTGTCACTAAACATACTACCATATATTATAAGAATGCCCTAGGAGGTATTTTTAGGTCCTTTGTGCCTCCCTAGGAAATATTTTAAGGTCTTTTGTGCCTCCCTAGCAGTCCTTTGCGCACCTGAGCAGTCCTTAGCGGTCCTGCAACTCATCAAAAGCATAAATTCTATCACAAAAATTATATTTTTTCTTACAATAATACATTTTTGTCTATAAACTTACTACCATATATTATAAGAATGTTCTAGGAGGGATTTTAAGGTCCTTTGTGCCTCCCTAGCAAGCTTTTTTGTATCTGAGCAGTCCTTAGCGGTCCGGCAACTCATCGAAAACATAAATTTTATCACTAAAATTGTATTTTTTCTGAACATAATACATTTTTTGTCACTAAACATACTACCATGTATTATAAGAATGCCCTAACAGGTATTTTAAGGCCCATTGTGCCTCCCTAGGAAATATTTTAAGGTCTTTTGTGCCTCCCTAGCAGTTCTTTGCGCACCTGAGCAGTCCTTAGCGGTCCTGCAACTCATCAAAAGCATAAATTCTATCACAAAAATTATATTTTTTCTTACAATAATACATTTTTGTCTATTAACTTACTACCATATATCATAAGAATGTTCTAGGAGGGATTTTAAGGTCCTTTGTGCCTCCCTAACAGATGTTAGTGCACCTGAGCAGTCCTTAGCGGTCCGGTAACTCATCGAAAGCATAAATTCTATCACCAAAATTATATTTTTTCTTAAAATTATACATTTTTTGTCACTTAACATACTACCATATATTATAAGAATGCCCTAGGAGGTATTTTTAGGTCCTTTGTGCCTCCCTAGGAAATATTCTAAGGTCTTTTGTGCCTCCCTAGCAGTCCTTTGCGCACCTGAGCAGTCCTTAGCGGTCCTGCAACTCATCGAAAGCATAAATTCTATCACAAAAATTATATTTTTTCTTACAATAATACATTTTTGTCTATAAACTTACTACCATATATTATAAGAATGTTCTAGGAGGGATTTTAAGGTCCTTTGTGCCTCCCTAGCAGTTGTTAGTGTATCTGAGCAGTCCTTAGCGGTCCGGCAACTCATCGAAAGCATAATCTCTATCACAAAAATTATATTTTTTCTTACAATAATACATATATGTCTATTAACTTACTACCATATATTATAAGAATGTTCTAGGAGGGATTTTAAGGTCCTTTGTGCCTCCCTAGCAGTTGTCAGTGCACCTGAGCAGTCCTTAGCAGTCCGGCAACTCTCAAAAACATAAATTTTACCACTAAAATGATATTTTTCCTTAAAATAACACATTTTTTGTCACTAAACATACTACCTTGTATTATAAGAATGCCCTAGGAGGTATTTTTAGGTCCTTTGTGCCTCCCTAGCAGTCTTTTGTGTATCTAAGCAGTCCTTAGCGGTCCGGCAACTCATAAAATTTTCACCAAAATAATATTTTTTCTTAAAATTATAAAAAAAATTTCACTAAACATACTACCATGTATTATAAGAATGCCCTAGAAGGTATTTTAAGGTCCTTTGTGCCTCCCTAGTAGTCCTTTGTTGCTCCTTAGCAGTCCTTAGCGGTCCTTAGCAGTGTTTAGTAGGACCCAAATTTAAGTGTTGTACAAGTATAATTATTCGAGTAAACAGTGTGATAAATTTATAATAAATCTCATTAATAAGAACAATATGTGGGACAGTTCATCTTGTAACCTTTAACCTACTGAATTTATATAATGGACTTGCCCAGTGCTTTAAAGTTGGAACAGTCCATTAGTATTTTAAGGGATTTCAGTATCAAAGTAATTAATAGTTATAAGTATAAGTTAAGTTTGTGGTTAGGATGCAGGCTTGTATCATCAGCTCCATGCATAAGTAGTTGATTATTGCAGTTTGCACATTTCACTTGTTATGGAGGAAATAATTATGTTAAGGAGAAAATATTTTCCTGTTTATAGTGTATATCTGTACTTTAATTTTAGTTTTGATCTGCCTCATCCAGGTGCTTTTCTTGAAAGTTACAGTTCACTATATTATTATAATTGATTTGTTTGCTTTGACTTACTGTATAATATATTTATAGTTAAATTTAACATAATAGATAAAAAAATATTTATGGCTTTTCTGTAAATACATTGTTCCGTTTGTTGACCCTAAATGTAACCGTGTTTAATCCATACTACTTTATTAGGTAGTAAAGTTCAAACATTCGGGGTATCTTAATGCACTATAATTATAATGTAAAAGTGAATCTTTACGATAAAATTACTGGAGAAAAATTTGTAATTGTATGTAACCCAATTATACTATAACTTCATGCTTCACATCTCATGATTGGTGTTGTTTTTTTTTTTTTGTGTGTGTTTAATTTGAGATCCCGGATATAGGGTTTAAGCTCGGATATATAAATACATTTTACAATTGACTTGGATGTACAGACGTTATAAACAGGAGCTAGCTATGGCAACTAAGGAAATTAGCAAAGTTTTCGTGCAAATGCGAGAGGTTGTTGCAAGTGATAAAAGCTCAAATGTATTTATTGTCGTCGGGGCTTCGGTTAGTTATTTTTAATTGTATTTTTGCTGCTTTTTTTTAATTTTTTATTATTATTATTATTATTATTATTATAGTTCAAGTGCAGTGAAAGGATCAAGTTTTTTAAGTGGGTTCTTATACATGTGTAATTATCTGCAACTATTAAAAATAGTTACTTTATAGAAGTGTCAGACTGTATTTAAGTGCCACAGAAATTTCAGGCATAAAATTAATAAGTATAAAAAATTTTTTTTTCAAAGTATGAATTTTTCAGAGTAAAAATGATATGATTGATTTAATTTCAGATAATATACTATTCTTATGATTATTATTCATTAGGAAAGATATTAATCATGCAGTTTGTTTTCAGATAATAATCAAATTAAATACATGTATTTATTTTGTTTATCTCAAAATCTTAAAAAGTCATATTTTAAGAGAGCATTTTCACCATTAAACTTTTTTACTTGTTTTGTTTTTGTTTGTTAGTATTATATTTGTTTAACCCTTGGCCTGCTGAATATGCCCATGTGAACAGTGCAGACCAAGATTAGCAAGCACATTATAAATTATGTACTGTCAGATCATTGTCTGCACTGTTCCCTAAGTCAGTTAGTGCATATTTGGAAAAAAAAAAACCTATAAATCATGTATGGTATTGTCCAGATTATTTAAAGATAGACAAGTCCCTTTAAGACATTTAAGCATAGTAAAGACTTAAACAATTCAACGATGTCAGTGTTTTTAGAATTTATTATACTGTGTAAAGAAGAGAACACTTATTTTTCCTTGTGTGGTCTATAAGATAGTTTAAAAATTGGAGTGGTGAGCAAGACTCATTTCACTACATTTACAGTTTCACTGCATATATATTAGAAAAAGGTAATGACGGCAATTTAACTTTATTTTAAAGGGCAAAATACTTAACCATATATACTATGTTATTATTTAAGCCTTAAAATATATTGCATTAAAAACAATTTAGCAGTTTCTGTTGATTTGCAATCATAATAATATAATAATCTATGATACAAAATTTGCAACAATTTTGATAGAATTTTTTTGTACATACAGGAACTTGCATGAATTTCAAACCAAATTCTGATAATAATTAACTATAAAATTGATTATCGTCTAAAATAGATTGAGAGAATGATTTTAAAATTTGCAAACAAGTTGTTGGTCCAGACCTTAACCAAATGATATTGGTACACAAACCTTTTATAAAGAAAATTCCTGTGAGGTCATGTCAAAAAATCTTAGTGGAGTCCCTTTAATTGGCAAAAATTCTATGGTATTCTATTTTTGTTAACACTTGTAAGTTTGTATGAAAACAGTAATTATATGGCTGATAATGTATGATAGAATGGTTATTATAATGCCATACAAGAAAAAAAAATCGTTGTATGCATTGTTAGCAAAATATTTTCAACATCAAGGTTGACATTAAAATTTTTCTAAGATGGACCATTTTGAATTTGAGGAAGTTCATTTGGTTCAAAGAAAAAAAAAAGAGTAAAACTTGAATTGTTGTTATATATTGAGGTGTTTTCTTTGTTTATTTCAGGGTGACTTAGCAAAAAAGAAAATCTACCCAGTATTATGGTAAGTTTACTTTGTTTACATTCTGCAACATGACACTATAGATCTGTGTAGGTGGAAATCCGGTTGTGAAATATTTGTTCATCTGATGATTGTATAAGATCTTGACAAAATTTTAATTTGAAATCTTGACAAATTTAAATTTGAAATTCTATTCAAAGTTGTACAACAGTACATATCAGTGTATATAAAGCTTTAAAGTTCTTAATTGTATTGTTTCCTCATTTTACTCCTCTGATGGTATTTGTTTCTGTATAAGAGCCTGGGAAATTTATTTTTAAAACAAAACTTGTACAATCCTCTGCGAAGTTAAATTAACTTGAAGTCTGTGTCTTTAACCCTTAACCAGCTGAGTTTCTTAAATGGACTTTTCCTACTCCAAATTCTGGAAGAATCCTTAGTTAAATTTATCAAACTTAGGGATATCAAGATGAAAATTTGAAGTTGGTCAGGCAATAGTATAAAACTGCAAGTCAGACTGCATGGATGTAGGCTGGTCAGGCTATAAACTGGCTAATAACTTTTGACCTCAGCAGGTCAATGTTTAAGCTTATACTAAAATAAATCAAGATCATTTTAATTATAGAAAATAGTAGACTTAAATAAATATATTCAACCTATGAGGTGGTGACATGTGGTTTCTCAAGTCCTCCTCTGCCTTTAGTTTAAAATAAATTCTATATAAACAGACTGATTTCTCAAATGAGGACATGAATGTAATCATAGTAATAATTACTGTATATGTACATAGATTTGTACAACTGTCATTAACATGCTAATTATTATATTATTATATCTCATTAGTAATAAAATTTACAGTTATTGTGTTTGCTTTGACCACGTGTGGAATGTGAGACAGATACATGTACAGTACTATAACAAGATATATGTTTTTATGATGTTTACATTTTTGTACTACATGTACATCATGCTGTATCCACATATCCTGTTACTGTCAAATGTTACGATAGGTTACCAGGATATCTATAAATAAGAAAGATAAGAAGAAAAAAATGCAAACACTCTGTTCCTCAATGTGAGTGTGCATATAGTATGCAAAAGATAAAATTCTTTTTTTTACAAAAAGTTTTATTTTCAGAGTGGGAATTGGCTTTGAGGTTAAGATGTCTACCTCTCAATACAGAGGTCATGGGTTTGAGCTCTCCTGGGATTATAAAAGCTATGTTTCCTTAAAATTTACATTAGTACTATTTATGCAGTCCTAGGGTCTGACTCAAGAGCTGTTAAATAATCTTATTTCATGCTTTCCAGTGTTTTATTGTAATATATCAGATGATTATATTCTGATAAACCACTAGTGAAATTTATAAAATATAATTTTCACTGTAGCCAAACTATATTTGAATGCGGATGATTTAAAAGAAAATCATAACTAAATTGAATAACAGGCAGAAATAAATGCCGTAATGCGTAAATTTTGCTTCTTTAGGAAAATAAAGTCAATGTTACCATACATCATGTTAAAAATGTAACAAAGTTAGAGAAATTTAACAGAACTATATTTCAAAATTGATGATGTGACGTCATGATGTGATGACGTCAAAAAGGAGAATGCGCAACGTTACGCGGCAAAATCAGTAAAAAATACTAAAAATCACTTAAAAAGCATGAAATAAAAAGAAAATTTATTTGTTTTACATATAAGATTGAAATATATTTCATTCGTGAACACCAGCTATTATATTTTCACTCGTGGCTACGCCACTCGTGAAAATATTGCATCTGGTGTTCACTCAGTGAAATTATATTTCAATCTTACATGCAAAACAAACAAATATCCTCTATATAAAGCTTAACTTGCAATGAGTTTGATATAAATTTGAATGAATAAAGGAATGGGTATTATACAGTAATTTAGATTTTACTTTTTCAAAAAGAAAAAGAGAGGTAACTGAAGCTTGCAGTATATCCGGGATGGTGTTGTCATTTGACACCATTTGATACAAAAATAAAAAACCTTCACTGATCATGATGATTATCTCCCTTGATAACTTATAATAGAACTTCTAAAAACTGGGCTTTGTAAATTTAAAATGGTTGCCATTTCAATTCCCACTTAGAGCCGATTTTTTTTCTGGCGCATTTGAATTATTCACATACAAAGTATTAATACATGTGTATTTGTTATGATATTGAGTTGATAATATAAGTGGTTAAACCCCTCAGCTGTTGAATTAACATAAAAAAAACAGTCCTGGGTGAAAACTTGATATTACCACTTCAGTATTTTTCAAAGAATAAAACATGTACATGTACCTCAATTTACATAAAATCTCTTTCCTGTTCTGTATGCTTGCAAAATTGAATACAGAACCAGATGATAATTGAATCAGTTTTCTCTAAGAAACAACTTTATTTGATTATTTAGAGAGAAAAGTCAATAGTTTGAATCAGTCTTTATGGTTTAATTAATGATTTCGATATTTGCTTTGTTGAAGTATTCTTATTTTCAGGAAATTATTCCTGTTCTGGCTTAGGTTCAAAGAGCCGCTGTAAATAAATGCTGATTCTAGATAAGTGCATTAATAACTTATTGATCCAACATAGCAGGAAAATACTTTATATCCTTTCAACGACTAATCATAATGTAATAAAATGTAATCGCGAAGGTGGCACATTTTGGCTTCCATCAATTCCACATATATCTCCGGAATTTATATGTGGCCCTAAAATTGAAACATATAAATGTCATAATACTGGATGTTATATATTGTGGTCAATAATGACTTTATGACACAACTCTGTCCATTTAAAAAAAAAACACACAAAAACTGGGGAAATTCGACAAAATTGAATATTTGTTTTACCACAAACACAATCATGTTTTTGAGTACATGTGCGTCACATGACTTCTGTAAAAATGATAATGTTTTTTTTTCGAAAAAAAGTTAGATATTTAAGATAGGGAACATAGACAAAATTATACAATGCACAGAACATTATCTTATGGATCAGTTCAGATGTGTTTTTTAGTATGTGGGGTCCAAATTTTTTAATGATGACACAAAAAGTATTACAATGAAACTTCAAAGGATATTTAGCATACCCAAAAGTATTAAAAATTATTTACAACTCGATAAAAAATAGCAGCTATTTTAATGTTTAATATATCAAGAAATGTTTTGTTTTTATGAAATAATGAGAAATGTTAGTTGTAAATTGATTTTAACAATTTGTGTCAATATTGTGCTTCCTTTTTCTCAATTTTAAGAAAATAACAATTAATCTTCAAAAGTTCAAGAGAATTCAGAAATTATCTTTCACAAATCAAAAAGGCCCAGGCCCTTCACAATTTAGGGGAAAACAAACAAATTAAAAAGATTTTTCTTTCCATATTTCAGGGAGCTATATAAAGATGAACTATTACCAACACACACCTACATTATAGGGTATGCCAGAAGTAACTTAACCCTAGATCAGCTACAAGAACGATGGGCCCCCTATCTGAAGGTAATATTTCTTTGTTAAACTTTATTATTAAAATACATAATATTTTATTTCTTTGTGGGGTTTGACTGGCTGATATTGTCAATGAATCACTCAAGATCTTATTGGTTACTTATACACACAGACTTTTTGTGGTCACTAAAAGTGACCTGCATGACCAAGGGCACAGTGGTTAAGGTTTCTGACTCCAAAGGCTGTTACTATGGGGAGTTCAAATCCCATGAGTGACTGAAATTATTACATGTCAGAAAGGAATGGACTGTTCCAAATTAAATGAGTGACAGCATGGTTGAGTGGTTAGTGCATCATTGCTAGATATGTGGGTCATTCTTCATTTAATATATTTATAATTTACATACTCAATTTAATCAAGTTTTTTTTTTCCAACAAGAACCAGTTTGTACATTAATGCACCACAGATATAGACTAAAAGATTCAAAAGATATATAGATATATTGTTAATGACAGATTTATTGCTTGATTTTTCTTATACTGATAATTTAAGTGAATAAGTTATCAAAAGAAAAGGTTTTAGTGTTTTAGATTTTAGTGTTTTTAGTGTTCATTAAATGTTGCTATCAATATTTCTGTTAATTTATTTTGAATGTTGTGTATGTTGTACATATATACTATTTTTAAAATAATAAATTCATTCAATAATTCTAACCACATCATACAAACACAACCAGATTTTCCTCATTCTACAACAGAACTTGTTTGTCCAGGAAGTAGATTTACAGACAAAAAAGATGATGGCTTTCATTATCATGTAAGAGATAAGAGTAGGCTTAGGCCAAAAAATAAGTCCCATTTCATGTCTAACCACCTAATCACTTTTTTCAACTGCAAACCCTAGACTTTTAGCTTATCAGGTCAGGTAATATAAACTTTCAGCCATTTATTCTGGGCCATATTACCTGTCAGAGATTTATTCTAGGTCATATAGCCTGTCTAAAGATTTATTGTTGGTCATGTAACCTATCAAAGAATTATTCTAAGCCATGTAACCTGTCAAAGATTAATTCTAGGCCATATGACCTGTCAAAGAATTGTTCTAAGCCATGTAACCTGTAAGATTTATTCTAGGTTGTATATCTTGACAAAAGATTTATTCAAGGTCATTTATCTTGTAAAAAGATTTTTCCTAGGTCATATAACCTGTCAAAGATTTATTCTAGGCCATGTTACCTGTCAAAAGATTTATTCTAGGTCATATAACTTGTCAAAGATTTATTCTAGGTGAATATTACCTGTCAAAATATTTGTAACTAATGATATAAAAAAATATAAGAAAAGATAGTATAGTATATTGTACCTACCTACCCTCTTGTTTTTGCCTGGAGACTGGAAACAAATCTCTTTTTTTGGCCTTAAAAGATTTATTTTTAAACCAGGAAATCGGACTGATAAAACACATCTGTATTGACAATGGGTACTTTTTTATTCATCAGGTGTCGGAGAAGGAACAAGGAAAATACAAAGAGTTTATCAAGATCAACAAATATTGTTCCGGGCAGTATGACAAAACGTCCGATTTTGGACGTCTTGATAAAATGATTGCCGATATCGGCAACTGTAACAGACTGTTTTATCTAGCCCTACCACCGTCAGTTTATGAAACTGTAACCTTGAATATAAAAGCTGTATGCATGTCTAAAAGGTAATCAAGGCTTTTTAATTTATATAAAAAAATATTTTTTTTAATCAGTTGATGTTATGAAAGGTTTAGAGTAAGATGGCATCTGACATGTCAAATATAATTTTTTTTTTAATGAAAGTTTATTATAAGTATGTCATGATTATGCATTCATATCTAGATAAGAAATGTGAGCACTCTGAATTCATTTTTAATCAATATATCTTACATTTGAATTTATAATTATATTTTTTATTAAAAGCAGTTTTGTGAAATAGATAAATATGATTAGAAGAAAAAAAATCTGCATAGGCGTTGTGTTAAGGCTTAGTCTTTGGTATTGTGGTTTTACAATAAACCAAACATTGTTTGAATTAAATACAATAAGTGGTGGCTGATATGAATTATATCTCACTGATACGTGATATTTCATTAGTAAGCATATAATGGAACTTTATAATTTATCAATAGAAATAGTTGTACTTTAAGTTAAAAAATGTCACATTTATGAGCTCAAACAGATAAAAATGCTGTGCAAAATTTAATAAATGCTTTATTTTGTAAAATTTGTAAAATCCTCGCATATAAATATATAATTTACTTTGTAGTGATAAATGGACTAGAGTGATCATAGAAAAACCATTCGGCCGTGACCTTGACACCTCAGAACATTTGTCCAATCATCTGTCATCATTGTTCCGCGAGGAGGAAATCTACAGAATCGACCACTACCTCGGCAAAGAAATGGTCCAAAATCTCATGGTTTTAAGGTATTATTTTATGTAATACTACATGTTTGAAATGAATAATTTTTGGAGTTATTTTCATCAAAAGGAAGGAAAATTTATCCTAAGAGATGGCTTTAATCTTAAGCTACCTTGGTCATGAACATTATGTTCTCTCATGATATAAGCACTGGTTAGCTTAAGGAAGCAGATTTTAGAGCTGTAAAATAAGCTTTAATTACATTTAAACCCCAACTTCAAAGGAAGAACACATATATATCATTGGTTATACAAGACCACCATTGATTTTTCTTGTTTGAATTAAAGAAGGTGATTTTACCTATTTTTAGCTCACCTGAGCACAAATGGCTCAAGGGTGAGCTTTTGTCATCACTCTGCGTGCGTCGTGCGCCTTCAAAAAATGGCGTAAAACTTTTCAAACAACATCTCCTCCTAAACCACATGGCCAATTGCAACCAAACTTTACAGAAATGATCCTTTGGTGGTCACCTTTAAAAATTGTTCAAAGAATTCAATTCCATGCAGAACTCTGGTTGCCATGGCAACCGAAAGAAAAAACTTTAAATATCTTCTTTAAAAAAACCCAAAGAGCTAGAGCTTAGATATTTGGCATGAAACATTTTCTAGTGAGTGTCTACCAAGTTTGTTCAAATAAAAGCCCTGGGGTCAAAATTGGCCCCGCCCCAGGGGGTCATTGATTTTCCCTATATGCATATAGTAAAACCTTAAAAAATCTTCTTTGAAAAAACCCATAGAGCTAGAGTTTAGATATTAATCATGAAACATCTTCTAGTGAGTGTCTACAAAGTTTGTTCAAATAAAAGCCCTGGGGTCAAAATTGGTCCCGCCCCAGGGAGTCATTGATTTTCCCTATATGCATATAGTAAAAACTTAAAAAATCTTCTTTTAAAGAACTCAAAGAGCTAGAGCTAAGATATTTAGCATGAAACATGTTCTAATGGATGTCTACCAAGTTTGTTCAAATAAAAGCCCTGGGGTCAAAATTGGACCCGCCCCGGGGGGTCATTGATTTTCCTTATATGTGTAAAGCAAAAACTTAAAAAATCTTCTTGAAAAAAAAACCCATATAGCTAGAGTTTAGATATTAAGCATGAAACATCTTCTAGTGAGTGTCTACAAAGTTTGTTCAAATAAAAGCCCTGGGGTCAAAATTGGCCCGCCCCGGGGGGGGGGGGGGGGGTCATTGATTTTCCTTATATGTTTATACATGTAGCAAAAACTTAAAAATCTTCTTTGAAAAAACCCAAATAGCTAGAGTTTAGATATTAAGCATGAAACATCTTCTAGTGAGTGTCTACAAAGTTTGTTCAAATAAAAGCCGTGGGGTCAAAACTGGCCCCGCCCAAGGGATGTCATTGTTGTTTACTATATGTGTATAGTTAAAACTTAAAAATCTTCTTTTAAAAAACCCAATGAGCTAGAGCTTAGATGTTTAGCATGAAACATCTTCTTATGGGTGTCTACCAAGTTTGTTCAAATAAAAGCCCTTGGGTTAAAATTGGCCCTGCTGGGGGGGGGAAGGAAGAGCAGGTGGGAAGGTCATGGTTTTTCATTATATGTGTGTAGTAAAAACTTAACATCATGAAACATCTTCTAATGGGTGTCTTCGAAGTTTGTTCAAATAAAAGCCCTGGGGTTAAAATTGGCCCTGCTGGGGGGGGGGGAGGAGGAAGAGCAGGTGGGAAGGTCATGGTTTTTCATTATATGTGTGTAGTAAAAACTTAACATCATGAAACATCTTCTAATGGGTGTCTTCGAAGTTTGTTCAAATAAAAGCCCTGGGGGTTTAAACTGGCCCCGCTCCGGGGGCCTATATACAGGTGAGAGACCTCAGGGCCATCATGTCCCTCTTGTTTAATGTCTGTTTATCAACAATTTTAACATTTTTCAAAACAGACTGGTCTTCACTGGCAGGTTTGACTGTGTATTCAAATTTGTATTTGATATATTTCAGGTTTGGGAACAGAATATTCAGCCCTATATGGAATAGAGATAGTATAGCATCAGTTGTAATCAGTTTCAAGGAGCCATTTGGAACACAAGGCAGGGGAGGTTACTTTGATGACTTTGGTATAATCAGGTTAGCTTCTATTAACTCCCCTGTTTAAAGATGAAATCCTGCTGTTGAGATTGCTTTGTGATGCTGAGTTAAGACTAAAAGTTAGTTCCTTTTTCAGATTCAAGGTATTAAGCAGTGTGGGAATAATTATTTAAAACTTGTTTCCACGATTTAATTTTATAACCTTCGGCAAACACATTTTAAAACTTGTTTACATGATTAAATTTTCAAACACTACAATGGAAGATAATGACTTTGCTGTGCTGCAAATCTAAGCAGTCTAAGCATATTATACTGTTGGGTTCTTGGCTTGAACCCCTAAAATACCAAATGAGCATGTCCTGATTTAAAACAGGGCTAGTCTATTGCTGTAACTCAGAGGGTGAAGGGTTATAAAATTATGTTTGTGTTTTTTATTCCGAATAAATACATTATTCAAAGTTTCATTATTTTTTATCCCCTAATTTTAAAGGCACATTATGCCTCATAGGTCAGTATTTTAGAGTATGTTAGATGTTTAACAACTGAAAAAAGTTGCTAGTGATGTGTCATAACAGTAGAAAAATGTAGTATTTTGACTTCCATACAAAACACTAAATCACTTAAACTGTACTAATTGCCAAAAAGCAACAGATGAAAAAGATGGTTCACGTAATTGGCCAATGAGTAACATTACTGAAACTATTAAAGTTCACCAAAAATAATAACTTTTGAGAAATAAAAAGCATTTCTGAGGCATAATGGGCCTTTAAACAACAGTTATTTTCTATGTAAATTTCTGCTTTATTTTAGAGATGTAATGCAGAATCACCTGCTACAGCTGATGACCTTGGTTGCCATGGAGAAACCACCAACTACTGCAGCAGAAGATATTAGAAATGAAAAGGTACATGTCAGTGCTGATACACTTTTGCAGCTTGTAAATGTGCATTAGTAGTGCACTCATATTTATAACACACACTTGCGGGTGTCAGACCCTATTCCTTAGCTTGAATTGCCCCTTTAAACAATAGATAAAAACTTTTAACACAAATTGAGCATCTGTATAATTATCATTAAAATTGTTTTTAAACCATTTCCACAAGAAGTAAAAAAAGTCCCATGTACTGTTAACTCTCAAAAAAATTGTCTCATTTGTGTAAAAACTTGGATTTTTTTTATTGCTTGTTGACAGGGGTGGTTTAAGCTGGGGGATAGGGTGTGACCTCCAAGTGCCTATGATTTATAATGGACAGGAGATTTTTTTAGATTTTTTCTATCAATCATGTGAATAAGGCAAATTTTTTGTAGGGCTTGTTTAATTTTCTGACAAAATACATGCTTCAGTATAGATCGAGAGAAAATGAAATTACATGTACATAATTCTACATTTTGCTAAGCAAACGATGGCAATTTACATTACAGGGAGAGACATTTATTAAATTCAATACATAAATTAAATTTTTACACATACATGTACATATTTGAAAAACTTGGTAATTTTTAAAATTGATAAAAAATCTCGTGACTGCTGAAATTATAGAAGCTATGTATACTAAAAAAAGAGAAACACCAAAACTTTCATCCCATACTCACTGTTTTAAGAAATTTCCACTCTGTAAAGTCAAGTTGTTCCTGTATTTTTGTTTCAGGTCAAGGTGTTGAAGAGCGTACCACCAATCACTATTGATAACGTAGTACTAGGACAATACGTGGGTAACCCCGATGGGAAAGGTGATGAGAAGCAAGGGTACCTAGATGATCCAACAGTCCCTGCAGGTATACCTCAGATGACATTGTTTTCTATTAGCGCAGATAGACTTAAAGCTATTTATGCTAGTTTATTCATAAAAGAAGCTGTCTGTCTATGTTTAAACATCATTAATCTACTTCTTGCTAAAGCCAGTGATTACTTAGTTCTAACCTAAAATCAAAAGATGCATCCATGTAGTTAAGGTCATTTGATTTCAAACCACTTGTCGCTTACTGCTGTGGGTTTGAATCCCAAAGGGGACTTTGAATTCTTTCATGTAAGGAAGCTATCGTGCTAGCTTGCAGAAGGTTGATGGTTCTACTCAGGTGCCCATACTGGCCTTAAATAATGCATGGTCTTCCTCCACAAAGTCACCGTTTGACCATTTCAGTATTGGTGCACTTTAAAACCCAGCAAAATTAACAACCTGAAATCAAAAAGTAAGATTAAGTGTCCACCATAGGGCTTGTACTTAATGTTTCCTGGATTTAGATCTAGTCAGCACAATCACAAGACTAAAGGTTTATTTCAGATTATACTTTGTAGATAAGAAGTTTTTTATGCTCTAAAATGCGGTATATGTTGACTGGTTTTGGATTTTTACTTTGTACAGGTATTTATCCAGTAATCTTACGGAACCATGGTGGTTCTACCAAGGTGCATACTTGTGCCTGAAATAATGCACAATTAGGGCAGCCGGGGTATTTTCCCACCATTTTAAACTGGAAAGTTAAAACCAAATCCAAAAGATGAAAAGATCTATGGCTTTCATTGATTTTCATTTACAAACAATATCTACAAAGTTTATCTTAATGTCTGCCTTTACCTAATAAGTAATGCTTGTTACAGAACAATGGATAAGTCATCTCATAGCTATAGAGTTTAAAATACTAAAAAACATGGAAAGATGTTTTGACACAAAAAAAATGAAGAAAAGGATAAATCCCTCTAAGTCAAGTTATTCTAGACATGCCCATCAATGTTACAACTCTAGATTTGCTTTGACAATTAGTGGTAATAAGAGGAACTTTCTTAATTATGCCCCAGGAGTTTCTAATTGAATTTATTTGATTTATTTATAGGTTCAGTGACGCCGACATTTGTAACAGCAGCATTATTTGTACGCAATGAGAGATGGGACGGTGTTCCATTTATACTAAGATGCGGAAAAGGTAGTAGTTCATATCACTTTTCATGGATATTTTTCAAACTATTTCAAAATTCATTCAGTGGTTTTTTAATTAACCTTTCCTACATTATATTGACAGCCACAGTGACTTGTTCATTAGTGTACATCCATGCTGTTTGACCAGACTGTATTGATTGTTCACTTTTAGCCTGTTTTTGTGTCACCTCTACAGAGTAGTGGCAACATATAGGGATCACTTCTCTGTCGTCTGTCCGTCCTTCTCTGTCACAAAACTCGTCTGGACTATTCCTCAAAAGCTACTGGTGCAAATTCATCCAAACTTGACAGGAATTACCAGTACCAAGTCTAGTTGTGCATAACTGTGGAATTATCCTGTTCAATGATTTTTGTCAGAGTTATGGCCCTTTAATGAATTTTATTATTAAAGTTTGTCTGGGCAGTACCACTCATGAAATTTCACTGAAACTTTACAGGATTGATCTGTAGCTCAAGTCCTTGTTGCATATTACACAAGTCTTCTGGTTGAATGATTTTGTGCTGAGCCAAGGCTCTTGTATAAAAAAATGTGTTTTGCCCTGTAAATGGTTTTTGTGTCACCTGCTACACAGTAGCTGCAACATGCAATTGGCTATCATGAGGCGACACACGTGAACACTGACCACTCTTGTTTATATCAAAACTGCTTGAAATACAATGGACAAATCCAAGTTCAATGCAAGTTTTATAATAGCCGCTTGTTTCGTTGATAAATGACTTCCGTGTAAATAAGTCATCAGCCGTGTTTAACATTGTAAAATCTGCTTTTACAGCATTAAATGAACGCAAGGCAGAGGTGCGTGTACAGTTCAAGGAAGTACCAGGTGATATATTCAGCGAGGGGAAGGTTAAACGTAATGAGCTCGTTATTCGGGTGCAGCCCAATGAGGCTGTGTACATGAAGATGATGACTAAGAGCCCGGGTATGAGTTTTGACTGTGAGGAGACCGAGTTAGATCTCACATACGGTAGTAGATACAAGGTATGCTTTGTTGTGTATTACTCTTTTTGTTCGCTTGCTTAGCTCAATGGTGGGTCATAGGATTTTTAGTCCAGAGGTCACTCGGGTTCAATCCTTGTGTAAGGCAAAATCCAACATGTCCTTTGTCTCTCACTGCTGTTTCAGAAATCATTTGGTTTGGTTAAAACAGGCATGAAAAAACAAAACAGAAATATAAAAAATATTTATTTTTGCACAGTGAACCTGAAGTTTGTTAACCAAATTTTGTCTCTGGTCAGCATATTTTTATCATCTGAAAAAAGTGAAGGTTTTATTGAATTCCTTCAATTTCCCAATTTTTCTGCTGATTTTGCCAAAAATTCCCAATTTAAAAGGCAAAAAAAAAAAAAAAAAATATATGTAAAGTCACTGGGCAAAATAACACAAATGAGCCTCCACTTTTTGTTCATGTGTTAAATGTCACCAGTTTAAACTCAATTGTGCTATATTTTACAGGGAGTTAAAATGCCGGAGGCTTATGAGCGCCTTATTCTAGATGTATTTACTGGATCTCAAATCAACTTTGTACGCTCAGACGAGTTATACCAAGCTTGGAGAATCTTTACACCACTTTTACACAAGATTGAAAACGAGAAGCCGAAGCCCATCCCATACAAATATGGAAGGTAACAGCTGCTTTGTTTGAATATTGTAGTGTCAAACACATGTAGTGGTTTTAAAGTGTGTATCTTTCCAAGCATGGCAAATAGACGCGTTTTAGTTAAGATATGGCTTAGTTTGATTATTAACTGCCCATCCGTCTTGTCCTGTATAATTGCCCAAAATTAAAAACTCATTCTTTGCCTGTGTGCACGATTTTTCTTTCCCTGTGAATCATGTACATCATTAATTCTGTATTCAGTACATTAGGAAATCCATAGTTTCCCGTAAGGTATTGAATTTCTAAAAAAAATATAAGTTTTCATTTTCAAGACTTAAAAATTTGAAGCAATTTGATTGGTATATCTTGAAAATAAAAACTCTTCCATATAAATAAGAATTTTACATTCATTAACTTATAAGTACGCTGGTTCAGTCTCAAAAAATCAGTTATTGCTCTTCTTATTTTATGATAAACACATTATTCTCCTTCTTATTTTATGATTAACATATTATCCCTCTTCTTATTTTATGATTAACATATTATCCCTCTTTTTATTAACCAGGTTTTCCGAAAGGAAAAAACTGGTTATTAGATTGAGGTATGTCGGCAGGCGGGCGGGCGGGCGGACGGGCGGGCGTAAACAATTTCTTCTGTGCGCAATTCCTCCTACATTTCTCAACAGATTTTGACCAAACTTTCACAGAAGCTTCGCCATCAAGTGCCCTGGCGCATATTGTCGGGGTTTTGGGATTAGATAATATTTGACCTAATTATGGCCCTTTGTTTTTTTCCTTATATAGAATATATAGTGAACAATGTCTTCTGTGCACGACATCTCCTACATTTCTCAACTGATTTTGACCAAACTTTCTCAGAAGCTTTGTCATCAAGTGCCCTGACACATATTGCCAGGGTTTTGCAATTGGTATATATTTGACCTAATTATGGCCCTTTGTTTTTTTCCTTATATAGAATATATAGTGAACAATTTCTTCTGTGCACAACTCCTCCTACATTTCTCAACGGATTTTGACCAAACTTTCTTAGAAGCTTTGTTATCAAGTGCCCTGGCGCATATTGTCGGGGTTTTGCCATTAGATAATATTTGACCTAATTATGGCCCTTTGTTTTTTTTCCTTATATAAAATATATAGTGAACAATTTCTTCTGTGCGCAACTCCTCCTACATTTCTCAACGGATTTTGACCAAACTTTCTCAGAAGCTTTGTCATCAAGTGCCCTGACACATATTGCCAGGGTTTTGCAATTGGTATATATTTGACCTAATTATGGCCCTTTGTTTTTTTTCCTTATATAGAATATATAGTGAACAATTTCTTCTGTGCACAACTCCTCCTACATTTCTCAACGGATTTTGACCAAACTTTCTTAGAAGCTTTGTTATCAAGTGCCCTGGCGCATATTGTCGGGGTTTTGCGATTAGATAATATTTGACCTAATTATGGCCCTTTGTTTTTTTTCCTTATATAAAATATATAGTGAACAATTTCTTCTGTGCGCAACTCCTCCTACATTTCTCAACGGATTTTGACCAAACTTTCTCAGAAGCTTTGTCATCAAGTGCCCTGACACATATTGCCAGGGTTTTGCAATTGGTATATATTTGACTTAATTATGGCCCTTTGTTTTTTTTCCTTATATAGAATATATAGTGAACAATTTCTTCTGTGCACAACTCCTCCTACATTTCTCAACGGATTTTGACCAAACTTTCTTAGAAGCTTTGTTATCAAGTGCCTGGCACATATTGTCGGGGTTTTGTGATTGGATAATATTTGACCGCATTATGGCCCTTTGTATATTTTTTCCTTATACAGAATATATAGAGAATAATTTCTTCTGTGCTCAACTCCTCCTACATTTCTCAACGGATTTTGACCAAACTTTCTTAGAAGCTTTGTTATCAAGTGCCTGGCACATATTGTCGGGGTTTTGTGATTGGATAATATTTGACCGAATTATGGCCCTTTGTATATTTTTTCCTTATACAGAATATATAGTGAACAATTTGTACAGTGCGCAACTTCTCCTACATTTCTCAATGGATTTTGACCAAACTTTCACAGAAGCTTTGTTATCAAGTGCCCTGGCGCTCACTAAATTCCCATGTTTCTACCAAGACATCATTCAAGTATTTTTTTAAAATTGTGAACATACTTTTCTTGATATCGCACAAAACACCACACGCCAATATTGTTGACAAAAGAAAATGACAAGAGACGCAAAAATGCAAAAATTAAGCAAAAATAAAGTACTGTTTACCTTTCTAAAACATTTGGGAAAAAAAGGCGAATAGACAACATAAAATTTCTCAATCATTTTTGTTTGAGGAATGTTAAAAAAGCCATAATTCCTCCTAAAAGTTCAATTAAAAACAAATGCCCCTTCATGACAAAGCTTCTGTGAAATATTTTGCTGAAAACCTGGTTGCATCGCATTGCGATGTTCCTTGTTTTACGATAAACTCATTTTTTGATGATAGCCGTTATTGTACATATGGTACAATATGATTATAAAAATGGTCAACATATAATTGATCATGAAGAAAAGCTTGTGCCGGTTCCTAGCTTTAGATATGTGACATAGGGCAGTTTTGTTTTGTGGGAACAGGAAAGCATAATTTGTGTTGTACACGTCACTTAGCAACAGAAAAGATTATAGTCACAAGCTTCTATGTTGTATCCCCATATTAATGTATTGTTGTTTTTTTTTCATGATTTTTTTTTTTTTTTTGCACAGAGTGGTCAATTTTTTATAATTTTTTTTTTTTTTTTTTGCACGGGGTGGTCAATCTTACTTGTTTCAAACAAATAGAAAATCAGACATAAATCAAAATTTGTCTAATACAGAAAATTGGTGGAAAGAAATGTTTGTAACTTGATTGCAAAGTCAAAATTTCGATAAATATTCAGAAATATAAATGCATTTTGGAATACAAAATTGATTGCAAATTCAAAATTAACAAAAAAAAAAAAATTCAGAAATATGAAGAAAGAAATATGATCGCATTATGGGATACTAGAATAACATTGCAGTATGGGATAGTCTTTTCACATGTATTCTTAGGCAATACATTCCAGCACCTTACCTTTTCTTGACACAAGTATAAGAAACTCAATTTCAAAATAAATTTATGACTTTTTTAAAGTGAAAAGGGATAGACAAGCCAATTTTGATTAAAATTCTCACTATAAGCAAAATTCTATAATAAATCAAGTCTTTTACTAACTCCAGGATGGTTTTAGCTTTCTAGAATTTCCTATACTAACATAATTCCTACTAGAATATACAAGAAATTAAAACATGTATATTATCTTTCGAGAAATTAAAACATTTACCACCCCTCGAGCTCCTCATTAACGCATTTATATACACTTGTGATCATATATATATAAATCAATTTATATCCCTAGACAATTTTGTTACCATCAGTTAAAGCTAGAAAAACCTCTGAAAACAATTATTGACCTTGAGAAAAAGTAGATGGTCACTAGCAAAGGTCAAATTTCAAGGTCAACAGGATTTCTATTGAAGAAATATTTATTGATTTATAAAGGAACTTTTGCTTGAAAGAATCTTACTTCATATGTTATTTAGGTCAAAGGTCAAGGTTATTATGGTTCTTAAATCAAATATATTTGAAAAAATTGTTTATTCATAAAAGAAATTTTGATAGAAAAAATCTTATTTTAGATACATGTACTTTAAATTATTGCTATTTTTCATGTCAAGAGGTCAAAGGTCAAGGTTACTTTGATTTTCAAATGAAATGTATGCGTATTTAACTAAAATAGGTTACCATACAGCTATTATTTTGTTTGACATCCTAAAAATCCCACAACTTTCATGCATGCAATAGAAATTTAATTCTACAATAGTTTTCATATCGTATTGTTTACCTGTTTTTCTTTCTTGTAGTGATGGTAGCTTGATTGTATATTGTATATGTGTTGTTTTCAGTCGAGGTCCGAAGGAATCCGACCATATGTGTGAACGACTCAACTTCAAGTATACAGGATCATATAAATGGAATGCACAAAAGCTGTAGGAAAAACAAAACTGAAACTGGGGTCAAAGGTCATCTATGAGAGAAATTAATTTAAGACTTTGCAGTACAGTACGGAAAATATTTGTTTCAGGACTATGGGACATTTTAAAATTGATCTAATATTACATGTGTTTGTACGGTTTCAGGACATTTGAAATTAATTGACTTACTAAGATGAGTAAATTAAGTAAATGCTTTATTGTCCTACCCTGTGTAAATTGAAGAAATCCTACATATGTTTATCAAAATGGTGGAATGAACAAATTGTGCCTTAATGCAGTATATACATTCATCAGATATTAAGATTTACAGTAGGGGAATCTGCTATATTCAAAACCTGAAGGTTTTTTTTTTGATTTATATACATTGTATTTTATACTTTTCTAATTAATTTATTAGATTTGAGTTGAATTTGTTGGTTAAAGGGTAAAGTAAGGATCTTGTAGGATCATGATTTGGACACAAGAAACCTGTGGATAAAACCTTAACTATGACATATTAGTTTTGACCTTGTCCTCTAAATGACCTTGACCTTGAAGGTCAAATTTAAGCCTCTGTATATAAGTTAATTTATTAGTTTGAATACAAAATAGAGCTCTGGTCCTAGGTCAAGAGTATTTCAAGTATTGTAAACTATTTGAGTACTATCTATGCAAAATTGATCAAAATAATCATAAAAGTAATGCAAATCTTCAGCCCTTCATCTTATAAAGGATGACAAATCCATTAGTGAATTGGTTGATTCTGACTCATGTTGGGTAATATCATAATAAATCCATTATTGCAATCACATGCTGCGGACATATTTCGTAATGCCTATTGCTAGTACTTAAAAGCCTCATATCGGAATGTTTTTGACTGTGTTGTCATTCAGTACCATCATGGCAGCAAACATGCTTGCTTATCAAAGGGTTCATTATTTTTAGTTTTATTTGGATTTGAAATATGTGATATCTGATCATGGTCTCCACTGTTTGCTAGACAAAACTGTTTGTAAGAAAAAAGTGGCGAATGGTTGAGTCCAGATTGAAAGATGGACAAGTTCATTGAAGATGTTTAGATCCAATTCTTTAGATTAGAGGCATATACTAGTCTTTTCGTGCCTGTCTTTTTTTAATGTCTGTCCCTTTGCAGACATCTTAAGATTTAGGCATATTAATATCTGCATCCTATAAGATTAAGCCTTCATACACAAGAAACCTCCTCTCAAAAAGACTTTGACATTCAAGGTCAAATTTAAATCTTCAACCACATATAAAATCAGAAAATTCATGACAAAATCAGAAAATTCATGACAACTTAATTGTCTAATATCAGATTTTGGAAAAGGTTACTTGTGCTTTATGAATACTTTTGTTATAGACTTAATTCACAACTTTCAATTTAAATGGCATAAATTCATATTCATTATGACATCATTGATGACATCATCAGTTACATTATCAATTACATCATCACTTTAAGATAATCAAGCTTATGTGCTAACAATCTGTTGTTTTGTTTTTTCTGGTGTGTTCTGTATTTGTTTTATAACCTTACACTTGATGTGTTAATTTGTTTAGTTTAGTAATTCCATTTTTTACATTTATACTTGTTGATTAATATTTTTCTCCCATAGCAGAAATGAAAAAAGTATTTGTATGTAATAATTGCTAGCTCAGTTAGCATAGATCTATATAGTGTTATTTCTTTTACATAATATTTAATAGGTTGTTAAATGTATTTATTAATTACTAAACACTAACCAGAATAAAAGATATATTGAAAAAAAATGTGTTATTATTTGGTAATGCATATACATGTAAGTTTTGCATTATTGAAACCAACTTATTCACCGTCATTCTGTAAAAAGCTTCGTCATATAAAAGAATCCAGTTAATGGTGAGATTTGAATCAACCTAGATAAGAGGCATGTGATTCAAAGTCAGCAACCTTAAAAACTTGACCACATATATGACCCATGTGAAGGATTATGACCAGTATAGATCCAGGCCAGCCTGGATAGTTGTGCAAGCTGATCAGACTCTGTGCTATTGATTGTTTTAATTTACCTTTTTGATACTGAAACCGTTTTGAATAAAATTTACTATTCCAAAAATTCAAATACAAGGCAAGCCCATCACACAAATTTAGGGATTTAGGGGTAAAACAACTTTGATAACAGTCCATAGTCTGTTTTAAAGAATCTGTATGTTGTAATTGAGGTTGTATACCACACTTAATGAAATTATATATATGTATATAATTATGCTTATAAAACAATTTTCAAAGTTCAAAGAATATGTAAAATATGTACTGCAAATATTTGTACATAAGATATGTAATCATTAAAATATGTAATCATTTAAATATGTACATTCATTTCTTATTGAAAAAAATGACTTAGTCTTTATAGAAAATGAATTTTTTATTACCTCCCTTTATTTACATGAAATGTTAAATTCGATAAAATCTTCATAAGTAATGCTTTTTGGAACTTACAAAATTGATAAATCTTTATTTGAGCATTACAAATTGATAAATCCTAATTTGAGCATTATATTTATGATATAAAACCATACAAAAATTGTGTTACAGGATCTTTAATTTGAATGAATTAAGTAAATTGTATTTGTTCATATATTGCAATATCTTTCAGATTTTATTACTTTTGGTTCTTGCAGGTTTTAAAAGCATTAAAAGGCCCAGTATTGATTCTTAAAAAGTAATGCTGCCACATTTAAGATACAATTACTTATAAAGCGTTGCCTTTAATCACCATTTGTGATCGAAATCCTAAAGCTTTTGTTCAAAATCTAAATAATTTACTAACATTGATTTACCATTTAATTTCCTTTTTCCTTCTGAAATAAAGTATATTTGTAGTGTCTCCTTAATACACTTTGGTTTACATTTCTATATTCTATTTTAACATTTAATTAACTTTGTCCGGAAAAAAAAAAGCTTCTTGGACATTATAATTTTGGCATACAAACAGTTTGAAACAGGTAAGTGTTCCTGAACTGTTTATGTTTAATTGTAATTTTTTTATCTAAAATAATGTAAATAAAGGAGATGAAAGGTTAAAGGGACTCCAATGAAGTTTTATAACATAACCTGTGAGACTGAAAATATTTTTTTAAGACAAATGTTCAATATAAATTAGTCCAATAACTTGTGTGCAAAATTTCAGATCATTCACTCACTCTGTTTTTCCAATATAATTATTCTAATAATGAAAATTGACCTTAAATTGAAAAGTGTTGCAATGCTTTATATTCAAAATGGTCTTACTGGCTAGTACTTATATACGACTTTCAATTTTGTATGAGTATATTCTTAATACTTTTGCATATCTTTCTGTTTTAAGTGCTCCAAATGATCTTTGTACGAAATAAAACTTTTATGTGTTTAGGCTTTTAAAGCTCAGTGGAGTTCCTTTAATGTAGAGAGTGTTATAGAAGAAAAAAAAAATGACATGTGATGTCAGATGTCTTATTTTTGCCGTTTGTTCATCAAGAAATTATTGAAATGTGAATAATTTATAATATGTCAGAAAGAAAAAGAAAAATTTACCTCGCATTTATTATATTTACTGTTGAGAAATAATATATGCAATTATGTTTTTAATATTTTTGTCTTGTTTATGACTTTGATGTTTAATGATACTTGATTTTTTACAGAGATTTATATGTCTCTGATTTTAAGGAAATTGGACTGTATGATATGTGTAACATTATTCAATTTTTTTACAATTTTACATATAATACCAATTTTTGGTATTAATTAAAATCCATAATGAGCAAATACATGTATTACTATATTATACTTTTAGATGTATTATGAAATTTTGATAAAATTGATAAAAAGACCAGATATGGAAATTGATATTTCATTTAAGTTTCAGAATTGGTACATATCATAAAGTGAATACATCTTTTTATAAAATAAGATATAAGCTTTTTTTATGATTATCTTTAAAAAAAAAGGGTTATCTTTTATAGCAGAATAAGTTATTTTTCAGTAGAAAGTTATATTTCAAAAGTAAGTAATATTTCAAGAGTAAATGATATTTCAAGAAAAAGTTGTTTTTAAAATAATTATTTCAAAGAGTGAGTCATATTTTGACAATATTAAAGTAATATTTCAAGAGTACATTTTTTTTTATTGAAAGTTAATTTAATACCAGAGTAAGTTATTTTTTAACAATTTAAGTCATTTTTACACTATCATTACATTATTAAAATCTAAAAGTAATAACAAAATCTTAAAGTATTAACAAAATGCTTAAAATATGAAATAGATCTGTTATTATTTTAATTACATGTGTATATTTCTATATTATTAATGTTTCTTTAATTTCAGTCGAGGCCCTGCAGAAAATGATGAGCTGTTTGCTAAACACAACTTCACCTACACTGGAACATACAAGTGGTCTCCCAGCAAAATATGAGATTTTTTGTGGGGGTTATTTTTGGTGCAAGACAATTTATACCAATCGAAGGACTTTGGTTTACACTGTACGAAGATGAAAGATCTAATTTTATACTATTATGAAGGATATTTATTTATGCCAGGGATAGAATTTAGCAATAATTTCTACTTGCAAATTTTTGCAAGTGATCAAATGATTAACTGGCAATATGAGGTAGTCAACTGGCATTTCCATTATCATGTATCTTATTATTATAATACACAATGACAATGTATTTTGAACATATTATGGTATGACAATTCTTAGGACCTTCATTAATTTTAGCATATTTTGTACTTGATTACACCAACAGCCTGAAAACTCAGAGGTACTGATCTACTTAAATAAATATTTCAGCTTATAAGTAAACACTTTACAGAGGAGTGCTACGCATTTACATTGGACCCTGATAAAACAACATGTGTTTGGCTGTTATAAATAGTCCATCAAAACATAGTCACAGAAAAAATAAGATAGAGCAACCAAAAATTGATTTTTAAGTTTTTAAGGTAAACTTCATCAATTACTGCATCTGGTACAGTAAACATCATCAGTTTCTGCAGCAGGCAGTTGCCAAGCATCATCATCAGCTCAGAAGATATCAATAATGTAAAAGTCCAAAATGAACAGTCACTTGCAAATAAATGCCAGCTAGAGTAATTTTTACTGGCATTATTAGATTTTAACTGGCATTTTGCCAGTATGCCAGCTTAAATTCGAACCCTGTATGCTGTTTATCAAGGATTTTAATTTAAACGGGTATAAAAAATTTCGATGAATACCAGTATGAAGGTGAAAGATTTAAATGAAGGATTTAGTTTTATAATGGGATGAAGGATGGTGATGTATACCAGTATGAAGATGTAGGACTTAATTTATATCATTAATTTATGAAAGATACTTATAATTATACCAGCATTATTAAAGATTAAAAAAAAAATAACCAGTATAATTATAGGAACTTCTTTTCTTTGAAAGCTTACCAGTAATGAAGGATTTAATTTTATACTGGTATGAAATGGTTAAAAGTGTAAATATACTGATATGAATAATTTTATCGTATACCAGTACAAAGGTATTTTTATTTATACCAGTATTCCTATTTTTCATTTTTACCAGTTACAGTACCAATAATACTGATATTAATAAGTTTAACATAAGATTTTTTTATTTATACTGGTATTGCTATTTTAAATTTATACCAGTTCCAATTATACTGATATGAATAATTTTAATATATACCAGTACAAAGGAATTTTTATATACCGGGTATACCGATTTTGCTATTTTAAATTTATACATGTACTAGTACCAATTATACTGATATGAATTACTGTATATTAATGTTTACCAGCACAAAGGAATTTTTATTTATACAGTACAAGTAGTATTATTTTGAATTCATAATATACCAGTACCAAGTTAATGTTTACCTTCAGAAAGGATTTTATTCATATGGGTGATTTATTCATTATATTAAATTACAGTATTCATGATCAAAATCTGGTCAACAATAAGTACCAGTTGTACATTCTTGCTGTATATCATATGAGCCGCGTCATGACAAAACCAACATAGTGCGTTTGCGACCAGCATGGATCCAGACCGGCCTGCGCATCTGCGCAGTCTGATCAGGATCCATGCTGCTCGCTATCAGTTTCTCTACTTGTTATAGAGTCTGTAAGCGAACAGCATGAATCCTGATCAGACTGCGCGGATGCGCAGGCTGGTCTGGATCCATGCTGGTCGCAAACCCATTATGTTGGTTTTATCGTGACACTGCTCATATGTCTTTAAAAAGTGTAAGTTGTAATTCCTAATATATTATTATTAGGTGATAAATTATAATGCCCAATCAAATGAGAGAGTGATCCACAACTATTTTGTTTGTAGTAGGTTACATGCAAAACTACGCAAAAAAAAAATGTTGTAAACCATTAAAAAAATCGAACAGAAAAAAATGGGGTTATTTTAATTTTTTTTCTTAAATAGCTGATTTTATTTTCTCTTGAGAAATAATGTTATTTAAGATGTAAATTCTCTCTGTGAGGGAAATATCAAAACTTAAAAAATACTGAAAAAAACTCAGAAAGGAAATTTTAGAAAGTTAAATTTCTTTTGTTTCTTATTCAAAATTTCTTTTGTATCCTTAATATAAAAAAAAATAAAAAATACTCTGAAAGGAGAATTTTTATTTGTATCTTATTAAAAATGAAAAAAATACTCGTAAAGGAGAATTAATTTCTTTTTTTTTATACTTGGAAAGGAGAATTTCTGTTGTATCTTATAAAAAATTTAAAGCACCTTTGAAAGAAGAAATTCTTTTGTATATTATCAAAAATTGAAAAATACTCGGAAAGGAGAATTAATTTCTTTTGTATCTTTAATATCAAAAATTAAAATATACCCGGAAAAGTGAATTTCTTTTGTATATTATCAATAATTTAAAAATACTCGGAAAAGGAGAATTTCTTTTTAAACCATGGTCATGAACCCTGGACATACATTTTTTTTTAAATGGAAAGTTGAGTATAAAGCTTTGTTAGGGGAAAACTTTTTTTTTTACTTTTTTTTTCTAGAATAAATATAATTTTGTGACAATAGGATTTTTTTGTACTTGTTTACTTACATATCAGGCTATAATATCATGACCTATATTGCTTGATTATTATTGCTCTTTACTTGTATTGAATGTTTTCTGTGCCTTAGAATATGGGCAGTATTTTTTTCATGCTTTCATTTTTCTCAAAAAAACAACTGGCTTAATTATTTTATTCTCTTTAAAAGTATAGTTAGATAGAAAATAGTTATAATTTCAATTTTATTGTAATATTTATATGTTATCATATACAAGTACATATATTGAAATGGCAAAGATAGGGTATACTTGTATCAAACTATGTGACTTTTAGCAATTTACTTGTATAGAAATTATTGTATGAATATACTCATATAATGAAATGGCATTGGATGAAAGGCTGTCTGAGGAATATTGCATTGAAATGCTATTTCATTATGGCATAGGTTTTTTTTTATTTCTGTCTCGGATATATCTTTCGTATCAAAGTAGTTTGCAACTTCTGTAGCAAATTACCTAAATAGACAATTTAATACTATTTGTCTAATTATCAAAATAGCAGCAGACTTCGGGAAATGGACAAAAAGCTCTCCAGTCCTGTCATTTTCAGAGGGTGTGGGGGGATGGCTTTTGTCCCTACTCATTTTTGGACAGGAGGGCTTTAGTCCTACACTTGCATACTTCAGTAGCATTCTACCTAAATAGCCAATATACTATTTGTCTAATTAGAATTTAGACAGGTTGCGTCTCGTGTTTTAATGTCCCAACTTTTTTTATATACAATCATATTGAATGATCACCCCCTCAATCATCTTATGTGTACCCTATTTCTGGGTTTAATAAAAGAATCAAGATATATTTTTATATAAAATTCACAAGTTTGGTTGAGATCATACAGTGGCAAACTTTTACATTCAGGTTTTACAGTATTTTTTTTTTTTTTTTTTTTTTGCAAATACATTTGTCTGCCAAAATTGCATAATTGTAAACATAGAATCTCACTACAGTTTGGTAAACATCTAAGAATTGAATGTATGTTATAACAGGTCAGAGCAAAATACTGCAAGTTTTAACTTTTAAGTCTGCTGCCGGCAACAGATTTTACGTATGTGACCAGTGCAGACCATGATCAGCACTCAAATCTGTGCCATCTGAATATGGTCTGCACTGTTCTCTATTCAGTCGTACATATTTTAAAACTTTCCCTAAAATGTTGAATAATTTTATCCAGATTGAAAGATGGGCAGTTATTTGGCGAGGCTTTGATTAATGTAAGATTTGCCGCGTTGTACAAGCGGTCTGGTGTTATTTGTTGTCTGTTTTCAACATGTGTTACATGCAAAAATAAAAGTTTACAATTAATGACTATCAACAGCTTGAACCTCAAACATTTCTATCTTAAATGATTCTCTTATTCTGGTCCCTCCACTGACTTAACTTCTTGTGAAGACTATCTATCATTCTATATTAATTTAGCGTTTATGCTCATACATTTTAGCCTTACATTCATGTGCAGCTGTTGTAGCAAGTACGGACCAATTTACTGACCAGTTCTTTGCAAATAGCTGCCATTTTTTACCATTTGACCGGGTCTTTAATTTACTTACAAATTCTTTGCAAATAGCTGCCATTTTTTACATTTGACCGGGTCTTTAATTTACTGACCAGTTCTTTGCAAATAGCTGCCATTTTTTACATTGACCCGGTCTTTTAGTTACTGACGTGAAATCGAAAGTATTATAAAAAAAACTCTTGTCGTTACACTGGACAATATTTCTTGTATTTCTTGTCTTGTTTAGAATGATTTTTGCTATACCTTTTTTTATATTTTGCAAATGTTTACAGTTTTTAGTCTACCCAGTGAAGATTTGAACTGTTTCAGTATATATATTTTAATGATTTGTTATGTGTAATCATACATGAAAATATTTACTCATGAATGTGTACTTATGTTTTACAAAATTAAAAATGATTAAAATATTTTGGAAGGTCAATTCAATTCTTTTTTATTGGTATGAAATATAGTTAATGATACAATGTTATAATCGCTGCACCGACACAGAGAACTAGGTGTTCTGTTTTAAATGGATGGCGGTGAAGAATGGCACAAAATTGCAAGATATGGCTTCATTCGGGTAGAATTCGATATTATCTCTGTAGACGGTGTTACCCAGCCGTTTGTATCTATTTTATAAGAGAAGAACGAGAATAAATACAAACTTTTTTCATTGAAACTTGTAAGCGTTTCAAAGAAGTCTTCAGCTGTAAATTAATACATGTTGAAGTTTAAAAGGATTTGAGTGTCTTATTCTGCCATAAATGGGTGTGTCTTATTTTGCCAGAGGGGAGGTCCAGGCTTTCTATGAATGGAATCAATAAATTGATGCAATGACAGTGTGCTCATCGCACACAGATGATTGAAGTAAAGCATTTGTTAAGTACCAACAACTTCAATGTTTTTTTTCAATTTATTTGAACTACATGTATACAATGTATCTAAATCATTAACTTTTACAATTCATTAGCACAAATATTTCTTGCCTAAAACACTTTAAGTTTCGTCTAGAGACTTGTCATACAAAATATGAAAATAACAACATTTTAATAACAAAAAACCATAATAATAGTATGTACCCATATATAACATATACAATTTAAAAGCAAAAATGTATAAAAGCGTATCCGTATAAACAAAATATCACAGTATCAGAATTTCTAATGCCGCTACTTTAAATAATGACAATAATGTTCATTATCTATGAAATCAGTGTGTTTCATATAGAATGAAAGATCTCGGTGAAATCTGGCAGAATATATAATGATATAGTACTAAATGTAGCTAAGAAAAAAATCTTTTTAAAATTCTTTGTTGAGTGAAAAGCATTCAGAGGAGAATGAACTTTACAATGGTATTCACATACAGTTTTGAAAAACAATTTTCTGTATTTCGTCCCTAAAATTATAAGCAATAACACAGATATATTTAAATGGAATGAAAGCTCTGACGTCATACACCAGGGATTCATTATCCCGCAAGTTCGCGTTTTTGCGATATTTTCCGAGACCATGTTTGACACGAGAAAATTAACCAATACGTAATATAAGTCTCTAGCGATAATTAATATCGGAATATACAACGATATAATGTATAACATTTTTGCTGTGTTTTAAAGTATTAGACGCCACTCAATAAACTGTCTTACCAAGTTTGCACTACAATTATTTTCATAATTTGTTATTTTAAAAGTTACAAAATGTTTAGATAGAGCTACTGACAGTATAGGGCCTGGTCAGAATACATGGAGATACAGACTGACCTGGTTTTATACGTGTGGCAAAGGCTAATCACTTTAAATGGTTAAAAGCGACATTTATTTATATACATCTATATATTAAAAAAGATGTTTGAAATGTATAAACAGATAAACAATCTTGGATAAAAAAAGTCAATCTGATGTCATTTCAGAAATGAAGCATAATTAACAAGAAGTACATTGTAATATAAAATGATTAATGATACAAACATCATAGATTATTAATTCCATATATCATGCATATATTATCATAATTTCATTTATTCAGAAAAATATAAAATATATATTTAAAATTGTTTATACCGATAAACAATCTTGAAAAAAAAATCAAACTTATGTCATGTCAAAAATGAAACATAACTAATACGAAGTACATTGTTTTATAAAAATGATTAGTAATAAAAATGTCATCGTTCCATATATCATGGATATATATAAACACGACTTCATATAAACATACGACCATATATCATGCTTTATATATCAGCTGAACTTATAATAAAAAAAACAACTTTTACATATAAATGTATAAGTTCAGTTCCAGTTGAGCTAATGCCAGCAGAGCTTTATGTAAGCATATATATCAGCAAAACCTTAAGCTCAGCTTCATGAGTATGCTCAGCGCAACTTCATTAAAGTATGTATCAAACAATAAAAACTACTGGCCTAAATGAAATATCGCATGGTGAACATATTTATAAAGTTGAAGAAAATTCTAACAAAATGCTTCTGTATACAGAAGCATTAAGAAGCATTAAATTAAGAAGCATTTACCGTACTTAAATTAAGAAGCATTTACTTAACTTAAGAAGTATAAAAGACGTCATCACAGTATTGTGGAAGAAATCAGTTAATCAAACTAGAAAACCATTTTTCATAAAATACCATTAATTTGACCCCATCGTTATTATTTTTGTGATATGTATTCGGCTCCAAATAGATTAAACAGAGTCATTTTATCTGTTGCTTTGTTTGAAAAAATTACTACTGAGTGGTAAAATGCATTCCTTTCAACACGATGCATTATATCTTTAGTCTTATTTGACACTGATTTTACTGTGAATGTTTTTTTGTTTGTTTGAAACCAGTGTTGAATAGTAAAAAAAAATAAACTTAACACCTTTTTGAGACTAGACTTAACACCTTTTTGAGACTTGAGGTCCTTCCTTTTTTTCATTATCCCTCATGTGCAGACTCAATGAAACCGAGTCTGCAATTTTCATGTAATTTTGCTGTTTTTAATGCTTTTGAGGGATCACTTTATTCCAGATAATGAGTCACATTCGGGTAGTATTTGTGTTTAGTAAATATATCATTTTTCAAAGATAGTTAGGGGGGAAAATCAGCGATTTTCAGCTTAATGTACAGAGAAAGTATTTTTAACATAACTTAATAACCTGAGTTAAAAGAAATTGTGCGTTTAAAGGTCACTGGCCATTTATACATGACTCGAATTCCTGGATATATAGCTAGGAATTAAACTCATCTAGCAAAAAATGAAATAATTTTCTCTAGCAAACAGTATTTGTATAAAACACTCGACAGTTTGTTTCATGCAGTGTTAGTTGATAAGCACCTGTTTTTGTAAAAAACCTATGTAAAAAACCTATGAAATAACAAGCAAGTGGAACATCATCATATTTAAAAGGCAATTTTAAACTCTTTTTTCAAAATTTCCGTTTGATAAGCCCATAAAGCTTTCAGGTCCGGTCTGCATTTCTTGTACGTCGAACAATCCAATAATTTCTCCATATCAGCCTGCGATTGATAAAAAATGTATATATATTTTTTTACATTTTGAAAATGAATTTTTAATTTGTATTTTATCAAATTACACATGAATTGCATAGGTCGTAAACCCTTGTTACCACTTTACAATTAAATTTTAAAAATCAAATTATTTTTTTTGCTGATACACGTGAGCAATAGCAAACATAAATTTTTGATAGTACATGTATACAAAACAGTCAACATATTCATTATCTCTGATTAGAAAAGACTGTTATTACTTCTCGATTAAAACACAAATGAAATGTTTATGGTTATTCACAGTATGCCAAATGAGATTCAGGCAAAGATACTTTACCAGGAATTGGTCCTCGTTATCCATGTGCTTTGTTCTATTTATAGCAGCATTAATCTTTTCCATGAGGCCTTTATCTGGCAATCTTTCTTTAACATCTCTACAGCAGTATACAATGTAATTTTGATATTTTATGATGAATGGGGGGGGGGGGGGTGCACCTTCAATTTGTTTACATAATGACGTTATAGTGTACAATGTGATTAAAATCAGCTCTAAAAAACGCTCCGCCGTAAGATCTGGCCGTGACCAAATACGAAACCATTTCTGGTGACCTTTCACACAGCCAATCATCGGCGAGCTTTCATAATTTTGAAAGCGATGTGGTTTCTAATTTTAACCCTGAGAAAACCAATACTGAGTAGGTAGTTTTCAAGATTTCCAGAACAAACATGGCGTTGTGCATGTACCCGACAGATTACCTAGCAAACAATCTTGCCAATTAAAAATTGACTCTATTATTTCAAGTTAATTTGTTAAAAATTACTTCAAACATGTCATTTTGATGCCTATATTATAGCTAAAAAAATCTTTCTCGGGAAATCCGAATTATGAAGAAGACAAATCATATACAGTCGTCATCAGATCTACATAAAATAAATGAGTAGTTCTGAACTTTTAGTGTGCACACTCAAACAATAAAAAGGGTGACACACGCGTGTCACTCAAACAATAGATTTAAATAAACACTTGTGTCATTATAACAATAGTTTCATGTGCACAAATGTTTTACCGCAAATACTTTGTTTAACTATAGAATTAAAAAAAAACGTATTTGTTTGACTGAAGTTACAGAATTTTATTGGTATTTCATCAACTTTATATACATTGTACAATCTTTTTGGCCATTGTATATTTTACAGACAATCCGAAATTAAACAAGTTTGACATACATGCTATTATAAAACTAAACTAAATTAAGGCAGAAAGAGAAATTAAAGATACAATTTTCGTAAAGTTTGCATTTATATTCTGAATAACTTCTTTAATTGATACATATTTAGAGTTATATCATACTGCAAATGTTTTTAATGAGACATCTTAAATAAATTGTATGCAGTCATATAATTTTTTGTATTTAGGTACATGTATGAGTTTAAACTAATTTTGTGTTTGTTATTGTAAAATAATGTACATGAATTGTGAAGCACATTAATGCTCGTATACAGTATAATAATAAGCTTTAAGTAAAATAACAATAAAAACTTACTTTTGCAATTGGTCTGCCTTTAAATACCAATCTTCTTCCTCCTTCGTCATTTTTACTTAAAAAGGAAAGGAAAATACATTGCTGTAAAATTGTAGACTTAGATCACATTTCTTTGTCAAAAAAGTATCAAAAGTTGACATATATTTTTCTGGTTCTGTGGGATCACTGATTCAAGCACTTTTAAGTGATGAAAATTGAGTATCAATTAAGCCGGTGGTAGAGTCGTGAGAGATGTTACTCTTTTTCCATTATTCCTCATGTACAGACTCAATCAAACCGAGTCTGCAATGTTCATGTAATTTTGTTGTGATTAAGACTTATGAGGAATCACACTTTATCCAGATTTGTATGGATTACGAACCCTAATAAATCTCTAAATCTTTTACTAATTTCTAGTAATATCATGTGAAAGTCGAAGCTTTTGTACCTGAATTTAGAATTTTTGTGTCACTCGAGACGATGTCTTCCAATGTAAAGTCATTATTTAATTAGAAAAAATATCCATATGGCGGCCCCTTTACAAGCTCATTTGTTTTTGCATTTGAATAATGGTCTACCTTTTCTCGATATTTGAATCTGTCAAATATTTAATTCAATGTACATCTTCTGCAACTATATTATTACAATTATGGAATATGTAAATCCAGAAGAAAAAAAACTTTTTTATAATGTCTTTATTCTAATAAACATTAAATGTTTTTTCAATACAGTCAAACCTATGGACAAAGGTCATGCAAATGAGACACGGAACAAAGCCTCTTTAGACAAGCTGTCTTATTGGAGGTTACTCTGTTCTATTTCATCAATAAATGTTTAAGTCCCCTTTATAAGCAGGGCGATTTTTTATTCGAAGGCGGTCTTTAACACGGGGTTGGCTGTATACAAATTATTTTACATTTAAATGATTTGATAACAATAAACTGGAAAAAGAAACAACTACCTGGTACTCGGACTTTTAAAACCTCGTCTTTTCCTGGAAAATAATTAATAAATAAAAGTCTTAACACAATATACACTAACGCCTGTCAGTTGCCTGCGAAAAGAAAATATCATATATATGTATATTTAACTGCAGTTTCAAAGATTATACTGAATCCAAACACAATGGACCGACATTAATATCTACATATATATGGTGGGCGAGGATGTCACGCAATTTAACATCTGGGTAGAAGATGGAAAAGCTACTCCGTAACTCACTCAGATAATTTAGCAACGGGAAAGTATTCCGAAGGTTCCGGGCTCGAGTTCCGAGAAATTTTGTATATTTCCTTACCCTTTGTTTCTAGTGCAAAGGCCGGGGTTTGTTTGTTTATTTTTGTTGGGTCAACTGTGGCAATAACACTGTAAAGGTCATATGGCGACTTTCCAGCTTTACTGGCAGAGGAAGACCGATGGAGTCCATCACTTCCGTGCATTATTTCAGGCAAGCATGGGCAACTGAGTGGACCCCAGGATCAAAAATTCCCTGTCGAGAATCGAACCAGTAGTGGTGAGGGGCAAATGGTTTAAAGTCAACGTCCTAACCACCCGGCGATTTAGAGATTGCACATTACGACATGTCCCCTGGTTGCTGTGAGAAAGCTATTGATAGATTATATCAATTATAAAAAAATATAGATCTATAACAGATTTTGATAACCTCTTTATCTCTTTAAAGTAAAACTCATCAAGAATGCTCGAATATACATGAATGGCGGGGAAAAATCTTTACATGCTATCGGTCAAATACTATACAGTCTCTGCAAAGCAACCCCTCTGTTTAGTAATAACCTATACATGTATATAATACAACAACAGTTTACTTTCTTCCAAAAGTAAAATTTCAAAATATATTTAAACATCTCTACAGCAACACCTTGCAACAACGACTGAAGTCTTTGGCTATCGAGGGTGTTGACATGTAGAGGTTTACTGTACATTTTCTTGCATCACATATATATCTACACAGGAGCTATATTGCATCACATATATCTACACAGGAGCTATATTGCATCACATCTACACAGGAGCTAAATTGCATCACATATATCTACCCAAGCGCTTTTTTGCATGACATATATATCTACCAAGGAGCTATATTGTATCACATATATATCTATCCAGGACCTATATTTCATCACATATATATCTACCCAGGAGCTATATTGCATCACATCTACACAGGAGCTAAATTGCATCACATATATCTACCCAAGAGCTTTATTGCATGACATATATATCTACCAAGGAGCTATATTGTACCACATATATATCTACCAAGGAGCTATATTGCATCACAAATATATCTACACAGGAGCTATATTGCATCACATCTATACAGGAGCTACATTGTATCACATATATCTACCCAAGAGCTTTATTGCATGACATATATATCTACCAAGGAGCTATATTGTATCACATATATATCTACCAAGGAGCTATATTGCATCACATATATATCTACCCAGGAGCTACATTGCATCACATATATATCTACCCAGGAGCTATATTGCATCACATCTACTCAGGAGCTAAATTGCATCACATATATCTACCCAAGAGCTTTATTTCTACCAAGGAGCTATATTGTATCACATGTATATCTACCAAGGAGCTATATTGCATCACATATATATCTACCCAGGGAGCTATATTGCATCACATACATATCTACTCATGAGCTGTTTTGCATCACATATAATTATATCTACACAGGAGTTATATTGCATCACATATATACCTACACATGAGCTATGTTGCATCACATATATACGTACACAGGAGCTATATTGCATCACATATATATCTAACCCAGAAGCTATATTGCATCACATATATATCTACCCAGGAGCTATATTGTATCACATATATATCTATCCAGGAGCTAGTTCGTATCACATATATATATATATATCCAGGACCTATATTTCATCACATATATATCTATCCAGGAGCTATATTGCATCACATATATATCTACCCAGGAGCTATATTGCATTACATATATATCTTCCCATGAGTTTTAATGCATCGCATATATATCTATCCAGGAACTATATTGCATCACATATATCTACCCAAGAGCTTTATGGCATGACATATATATATCTACCAAGGTGCTATATTGCATCACATATATATCTACCCAGGGAGCTATATTGCATCACATATATATCTACTAAGGAGCTGTTTTGAATCACATATATATATACACAGGAGCTATATTGTATCGCACATATATCTACTCAGGAGCTATATCGCATCAGATATATATCTACCCAGGAGCTATATTGTATCACATCAATATCTACACAGGAGCTATATTGTATCACATATATATCTAACCACGAAGCTATATTGCATCAAATATTTATCTACCCAGGAGCTATAATGTATAACATATACATTTATCCAGGAGCTATATTGCATCACATATATATCTATCCAGGTGTTATATTGCATCACATATATATATTCCCATTAGTTTTATTACATCACATATATATCTACCCAGAAACTTTATTGCATCACATATATATCTACCGAGGAGCTATATTGTATCACATATTATATCAATCCAAGAGCTATAATGCATCACATATATTTCTCTACCCAGGAGCCTTTAATTGCACTACATATATATCTACCCATGAGCTATATTGATCCTATGAAAATAACATTATTATTTACTGTTTTCTTCGTGTGTGTCATAACCACTTGTTTCATGCGGTTGTATAGGGTAGCTTGATATCCTGTCTGGACAAGTCTTGGCAAACTGATGTTCTTTTCTCCGGCCGTCTTTGACTACAGTGCCAGTAAAAGTAAAATATACAGGGATTATAAAAAAATAGTTTGAGTATTTCAAATAAATTCGCAATTAACGGTACAAATAGATTACTAACACAAGACATGCTTAAGCTTATTATTGTAATGCAAAATCATGTATGACTTCATAACGATAATAATTCAGCTTCTGTATTATATAATGAAATATGTAATTATTATATTATTAGTAATGTAGTTTTATTGTCCAGGACAACCATTTATTTCACAACTTGTAAAATATCACCATTGAACGTTCAGCGAGTGAACCACATAATATTCCACTAGAAATCATGATTGGATCTTATCAATTTAGCCTTGTTTTCATTTTCAAAGTCCAAAAAGTCCAAATTAAATCCATACCGTACGCAATATAGCCTCGTTTTCATTTTTGTAGTGCAAAACCAAAAAATATATCAAATACATATCATACTCAATCTCGCATCATTGTCAGTTTTGAGAGTCCAAATATTCATATTAAATCCTTAATGTAATTGAAGTAATCAAATGCTGCCAAAATGTCAAAAACAGGTGGCATGAAATAAAGAGGTCATTTTATACATTGTTTAAATATTTGGTGGTGGTGTTGGTAGTTTTCACTCCGAATCACGACAGTAAGCCACATTGAATTTACCAGAACACACATGCATGCACGCGCACGCACGCGCACGCACACACAAACACACACGCGCACGCACCAACGCACACGCACACACACACACGTACACACACGCACACACACACACACACACCTACACACCTAACAGCTCTTTCTCTTTGGTTAAAGAAAGTTAGTTTTATTCAGAAATAATTATTAAAAAATTATCTCCTATACCTTGTGTTTTGTTTGTGTGAGTGGTCAGATCATGTTGCTCTACGAAAGTTAATACATCCCCTATTTTGGGCCTCTGAGATGGGTTCTTTTCCATCATCCCTGAAATCAGGTCTCGCATGAGGCTACAGTATTTAATTTCAGAATAGTCTACCTGAAATAATGTTAAACAGACATAGGTTTTCGTCATTCCTATAGTATATCATGCCCAAAGTTGCTTTGCCTGTTTGAATTATCCAAATTATATGCATGGTTCGCCAATCTGCATTAATATGTATGAACCTTCAATGTGTCGGGTGATCTTGGTCAGAACTGGTTGCATATGGATCTATTGCCATAGCAGGGTATACAGTTAATTTTACATTGAAAAATATAAATTTACCCTTTATCTCATATATACGCGAAACAACGCACTTTCGACCCCCTCTTTCAGGCCTTAATTAGTGAAAAAATGTCCTGTTTGGGCCCCAAACACATGTTTTCGTTTGAGAAATGTTGATAAAAAAAATGATCACTTTTTCGGCCCGTCTCCCCCATCAAAAAGGTACACCAGAGGGTTGCCAGAAGGGGGATGTGCCCCCTTCTGTTTGGGGGGTTTGAAGGGGGGCGGTAGTCCCCTCATCGCCAAGAAAATTTTGGACTTGTGAGAGGCTAAAAATGCCCCTAGGTCGATCATAAGGTAACGTGTAACCAACGCTGAAAAGCCTTTGACTCTATCTGAATCCACTGAGAAGTTGCAGCACTTTAAAATCAATTTTGGTGGAAAAAATCAACGCAAAATAGTGATTTTTGGCAATTTTGAGATGTCCCCTCGTTGCCATGGTAACGGGAAATTTAAGACTGAGCATTTTGTTACAAAGGCAATGGTCAAGTCAACATATGTGCTAAGTTTGATTAGTATTGAAGCAGTTTATATAGTTTTATAGCAATTTGAACTTGTAACGGGAGACTTTTCAATGAAAACAGCCATTTTTCACAAAATGCTCATGCAGTAATGGGTTAAGGTACATGTATATTAATGCAGATTGGTGAACGGTACATATACATTTAATTTTGAGAATTCATACAATCTTCTCATGGTCAGACCGTCTCATGGTCTGCATTGTCCACAAATCAGTAAGTATATATATACTTGAATTGCCTGGTTTATAGGAACTTAGTCACCAGACCGTTTTCCAGGAACGTCGCTTTCTACCTTTTATATAACAATAGGTAGAATATTTTTTTGTGTTTTCCACTGTCAATTTTATAAATATAAATAAATTTCATCTTTTTAAAAAATATGTCGTTGCCATTACAATGACAAAAAGGTTCACATATACCATTGACAAAATATGAGTGATACACCTCTATAAATGTTCCAATATATTTGTCGTTGTCATTACAATGACAAAAAGGTTCACATATACCATTGACAAAATATGAGTGATACACCTCTATAAATGTTCCAATATATTTGTTTTATGTTCACATATGTTTTTTTTTCTCGTCTATGAATTTATAATGTATGTTTTGTTTTAAACTTGTCCAACTGAACTTTTTAACTTATATATTTGATTTAATGTTTAATCTTTCAACGTATACAGCATAGTTACAGCAACATCAGCTAACCACAATATAACTACCAAGTTCTTCATGTAAAATGACTACGACTTTATATGTGAGTAACTTTCTAGGTCCATAATCGTATTGTACACTGCAAAACAACACCAGAACATCAACTTAGCTCGTCCGCGCCTCCAGCAGGCTAGTCGTATATGCCTTGCATCACTTCCTCTCCTGCAAAAGCTTCCGGTCTGTTTTTAAAATAAATAAGTGCAGACTATAGGATCCAAACCCGATTTCTGTGTTTTTTGAAGGGTACTGAAATGCGTGCAAATAGCAAAACTATTTTGCTATATAGTTATCATAAAATTTAACGCACAGACTTTACCGTTACAACATACAGAGAATACGCAAAACGGTTGGCCAGTTGAATTATCGTTTCACGGATACTAGATGTTTTGGAATTTTACTCAGAGTACGATTGAGTGACAACGTAATTCTACAATTATGTGTTTAACAGGCCCAGGGACACTGGGCGACACAGGGTGCTCGCGCTCTTACCTGGCCTCAGATTTTAAGCCAATGGTATGATTTGTAATCGCCCTCGCCCTATGCCAAGCCTTTGGACCTGAGTCTATTTAATAACATTAATAACCACATATATTTCAAATTTATACTTGTCCGACAGCAAGAAATCACTTACATACATATCATGCCCCTCTTGGCCCGTGTACATCGCCGATGTCTGATATATAAAGATTTCAAGGTATTATGGGAACATTTTGCATTATGGTGGTATCTACCGCACATGTATTGATTGCAGATCAGCCCTGGTGACAAACGTTGCAAAAATATGCACGGAAGGCACAAACCGTTACTTCAGTAGATACAAGAACAAGATGAAGTAGATCCGGGTCATGGATTTAAGAAACTCTAATATTCTAGGGGATTTTGGAACTTTTGCGTTTCACCACACATCAGACATGCTCTTGTGATAAAATGATGCTAAAATACATAGATGGTTCACAAATACATGCTTTAGTGGATGCAGAAACAAGAACTTTGTGTGTGTCTTTCATTTACTAATCAAAGACATGCATTGCAATGCCCGAAATAAAAGATTCCAAGGGATTTTATAACATTTCGCGTTTTGCTGGTATTCAATGCACATTTATTCATAGAAGACTAGCCCTGTTGGCAAAATGCTGATAACGAAAACACTGATACATGCTCTAGTGGACACATAAACAAGATGCATGTGTTTCTCTCCGTGTATCTCACAAGAACTTTCAGTGCGAAGCCTGAAAATAGATTCTGAAGAGTTCCGGAGCATTTTGAGTTCTGTTAAGATAACCGCAGATTTATCCATGTCAGACACACCCTTGTGACAAAACGGTGCGACAATACACACAGAAGGTACAGAATTCATGCTAAGTGGATATAGAAAAGGATTTAGTTTTTTTTCCCAGTCTCTGACCAGCACTTACAATGCGATGCATTGATATTGAAATTGTAAGGGATTTTGGAACATTTTGCGTTCTGTTTAAGATTCGCCGCACAAATATCCATTTCAGACAATACTGCTAAAATAAAAAACAGGCGATACAAATGCATGCTCAGGTAGATACAGAATCAGGATAAAAGTGTTTCTCTCAAAATATCTGACAATCCCATATAATGCGATGTGTCTCATATAAACTTCTAAGGGATTTTGGAACTTTTTGCGTTCTGTTAAAGTCCGCCGCATCCCAACACAAGTATCCATATCAGACCAGCCCTGGTGACAAAATATTGCTAAAATAACAACCAGAATGCACAAATTGTACTATAGAAAATAAGAGAAAGAGAACATGGTCTAAGTGCTTCTCTCATTATTCTGAAGAGAGCCGACATTGGGTTGCATGATATGAAGATTCCAAGGGATTTTTTGGAACAATTTGCTTTGGCTTTACAAAACGTAGTCTTTTCAATATTACTATTTAGAACAATGATTGCATTGCACGAAAAGTGGTCAGAAATCGAAAAAACTTAGCTCAAGTTTGTGTATCAACTTGAGCATGTATTTGTGCATTCCGTATGTATTACGGAGGTAGGGTTGACAATGATACACGTGCAGCGAAATTAAGCACATAACACAAATTCAAAATTCTGTCGTTATATTTTATTTCGGTCATTACAATGTTACTCTGATAAGTGAAAGAGAAACCCCTTAGATCCCTTAATAGTTTCAGCATCTAATTGTGCATTCCGTTGTGTATTTGAGCAGCTTTTTGTCACTAGGACATATCTGATATTGCGAATCATAACACACACATTTGTTTTCAAAATTTCCTTTTTTATTTTTTATATTGGGCTTCGCAATATAAGTTCTGAAAATGGGTGAGAAACTTGATCATGTATTTTTGCCATTTCGTGGGTTTATTTTTGCATTATTTTAGCGCCAAGAGCAAGTCTCATATCAATACGAAGTGCGTCAAATCTTTGGCAGAACACAAAAACGTTCCAAAATTCCTTAAAAATCTTTATTTTAGGGCATGGTGATGTACGTTCTGGGCAGAAAATTGAAATAACTTGGATCCTGTGCCTGTACCATTGTATTTTAGCAGCGTTTTGTCGCCAGGCATGTCTGTTATGGATGCATGAGCGCCGAATCTGAATAGAACACAAAATGTTCCAAAATCTCTAGTAATCTTTATGCATGGCATCCTAGTCTACTTTCTATTCCACATTGTCTGAACTACATGTTATAAAACTGTATCCTGACCGGAAACCATCGCAGGTACATATACAGAAAATGTTGTTTTGTTCGTGTTCGATGTCATTTCGGATTTGTTTTGGAGTGAAACGTAGAAACGTTTACCTTTATCTATTTTCTTTTTAAAATGTATATTGACATAAAAAACAACTAAGAAAGTCTTCGACTGTCTGATTTGTTAAAAGTACACCTAAAACAACGTTTTTCAAATGTGAAGTGGAGAAAAACTCGCGAAAAGGGGATATTTTCCTAACCGTAACACTTTAGACGAGTTTTAAATACATTTTTTTTTAATGCGTTTATTTAAGGTCGCCGCCGGAAACCCATATGGGCGACCGTACACTCAAGTCGGGCCATCCTAGAGCGTCCCGCCGAGATTTTTTCGTTGATTTTTTTCCAGCTTTATTGGTGGAGGAAGACCCCAGGTGCCCCTCCGGGCATTATTTCAGGCACGAGCGGGCACCTGGGTAGAACCACCGACCTTCCGTAAGCCAGCTGGATGGCTTCCTCACATGAAAGAATTCGACCCGAGTTGAGGATCGAACCTACAGCGGTGAGGGACCTGTTGATCTCAAGTCAGCGACCTTAAACCCACTCGGCCACGGAGGCCCCCATTTTTAAATACAAAAAAAACGAATATCCATGTATAAATATTTATTCGATATAATCTCACATGTTTGTATAATCAAGTTAAATTCTTCGAATAAATGATTTTAAATTCCGGTCATAGGATGAACTGTTATGTTGAAAACCTTGAAAAAACGATATTTCAAACTTGTTATACCCATAAACCGTAACTTTTTACTTGAATTGATAACCTGAGTTGATTTTTCAGGAACTGTATGAAACTTCTT